AACAGTCGGCGAGGTTGGGGCCCTCTGAGTGGCCCAGCACTATCCTCAGTCCATTGAATATCCCGGAGAACAGCTCTGTGATTGGACGGTCTGTATTGATCTGTGATTGGACGGTCTGGGCTGCTCTGTGATTGGACGGTTTCTGCCGCTCTATGATTGGACGGTCTGTGCCGCTCTGCGATTGGACGGTCTTTGCCGCTCTGCGATTGGACGATCCGTGCCGTTTTGTGATTGGACGGCTTGTGCTGCACTGTAATTGGACGGTTTGTACTGCTCTGTGATTGGACGGTCTGTGTCGATCTGTGATTAGATGGTCTGTGTCAATCTGTGATTGGACGTCTGGGCCGCTCTGTGGTTGGACGGTCTGTGCTGTGTGATTGGACTGTGTGATTGGACAGTCTGTGATTGGACGGTCTGTTTAACGGTCTGTGCCGCTCTGTGATTGGACGGTCTGTGCCGCTCTGTGATTGGACGGTCTGTGCCGCTCTGTGATTGGACGGTCTGTGCCGCTCTGTGATTGGACGGTCTGTGCCGCTCTGTGATTGGACGGTCTGTGCCGCTCTGTGATTGGACGGTCTGTGCCGCTCTGTGATTGGACGGTCTGTGCCGCTCTGTGATTGGACGGTCTGTGCCCTCTCTGTGATTGGACGGTCTGTGCCGCTCTGTGATTGGACGGTCTGTGCCGCTCTGTGATTGGACGGTCTGGTCCGCTCTGTGATTGGACGGTCTGTGCCGCTCTGTGTGTGATTGGACGGTCTGTGCCGCTCTGTGATTGGACGGTCTGTGTCGCTCTGTGATTGGACGGTCTGTGCCCCTCTGTGAAAGGATGGTCTGTGGTTGCTCTGTGATTGGATGGTCTGGTGGTTCTCTGTGATTGGACGGTCTGTGTCTCTCTGTGATTGGACGGTCTTTTACCTTAATGCAGAGTATGCAATAAAGTGTTACTGGACCCTCTTCACTATATCTGGTCTCCCCCGGACCCCGGTCTGCATTCACAATATCTGGTCTCCCCGGACCCTGCATTCACTATATCTGTGATTGGACCGGCATTCACTATATCTGGTCTCCCACAGTACCGAACTGTGAAATTGACATTATTTTAGTACATATCTGCTAAATACCGGAGGGTGGAGTGGGGAGGTGTGGTGGGGGAGGAGGAGGGTGGATGAAATCATTGTACAGTCGGGAGCTTGGGGCCCTCTGAGTGGCCCAGCACTGTGATTGGACGGTCTCCCCCATTGATTGGACGTCTCCCGGAGAAACAGCTCTGTGATTTGGACGGTCTGGTATTGATCTGTGATTGGACGGTCTGGGCTGCTCTGTGATTGGACGGTTCGTGCCGCTCTGTGCCGCTCTGTGATTGATCTCGATTGGACGGTCCCCGCTCCTGCGATTGGACGGTCTGTGCCGCTCTTTGTGATTGGACGGATCCGTGCCGTTATTGTGATTGGACGGTTGTGCTGCTGCTCTGTAATTGGACGGTCTGCAACTGCTCTGTGATTGGACGGTCTGTGTCGATCTGTGATTGGATGGTCTGTGGCCCTCTGTGATTGGACGGTCTCTGGGCCTCTCTGTGGATTGGACGGTCTGTGCAGCTCTGTGGATTGGACGGTCTCTGCTCTTGTGATTGGACGGTCTGTGCCGCTCTTGTGATTGGACGGTCTGTGCCGCTCTGTGATTGGACGGCTGTCTGTGCCGCTCTGTGGATTGGACGGGTCTGTGTCCGCTCTGTGGTTGGACGGTCTGTGTCTCTGTGATTGGACGGTCTGTGCCGCTCTCTGTGTGATTGTTGGACGGTCTGTGCCGCTCTGTGATTGGACGGTCTGTGCCGCTCTGTGGTTGGACGGTCTGTGTCTCTCTCTGTGATTTGGATCGGTCTGTGTCTCTCTGTGATTGGACGGTCTGTGGTCTGTGCCAGTCTTGTGATTGGACGGTCTGTGCCGCTCTGTGATTGGACGGTCTGTGCCGCTCTGTGATTGGACGGTCTGTGCCGCTCTGTGATTGGACGGTCTGTGCCGCTCTGTGATTGGACGGTCTGTGCCGCTCTGTGATTGGACGGTCTGTGCCGCTCTGTGGATTGGACGGTCTGTGCCGCTCTGTGATTGGACGGTCTGTGCCGCTCTGTGATTGGACGGTTCTGTGCCGCTCTGTGATTGGACGGTCTGTGCCGCTCTGTGATTGGACGGTCTGTGCCGCTCTGTGATTGGAAGGTCTGTGTCCGCTCTGTGATTGGACGGACCCTGTGCCGCTCTGTGGATTGGACGGTCTGTCCCCGCTCTGTGATTGGACTGGTCTGGGCCCCTCTGTGATTGGACGGTCTGTGTCTCTCTGTGATTGGAGGCACTTGGTCTTGGTCTTGCTCTCTGTGATTGGATGGTCGGTGTCCTATCTGTGATTGGAGGGTCTTTTACCTTAATGCAGAGTATGCAATAAAGTCTGTTACTAAACCCCGGACCCTGCATTCATTATATCTGATCTCTCCCGGACCCTGCATTCACTATATCCTGATCTCCCCGGACCCCTGCATTTCACTATATCTGGTCTCCCCTGACCCTGCATTCACTATATCTGATCTCCCCGGACCCTGCATTCACTATATCTGGTCTCCCCGGACCCTGCATTCACTATATCTGGTCTCCCACAGTACACACAACATACAAATGACATTATTTTAGTACATTTAAACTGCTAAATACCCGTGAGGTGGAGGTCTGGTGGATCCATTCATTGTAAACAGTCGGGTGAGGATTGGACGGGCCCTCTGAGTGGCCCAGTGCTATCCTCAGTGATCCCTGGTCAAGTCCCGACTCTGTGAACACATCTCTGTGCTCTGTGATTGGTGGTCTGTGCTCCTGCTCTGAGATTGGACACTATGTGCCCTCTCTCTGTGATTGGAGGGTCTGTGCCGCTCTCTGTGATTGGATTGTCTTTGTTCGACCTGTGATTGGACGGTCTGTGCCGCTCTCTGTGATTGGACGGTCTGTGTCTCTCTGTGATTGGACGGTGTCTTTGCTTCTCTCTGTGATTGGACGGTCTATGCGCCGCTCTGTGATTGGACGGTCTGTGCCGCTCTGTGATTGGACGGTCTGCTCTCTCTGTGATTGGACGGTCTGTGTCTCTCTTGATTGTGATCTGTGGACTGGTTGTGTCTGTCGCTCTGTGATTGGACGGTCTGTGCCGCACTGTGATTGGACGGTCTGTGCCGCACTGCGATTGGACGGTCTGTGCCTGCGCACTGCGATTGGACGGTGTGCCGCACTGTGCGATTGGACGGGTCTGCCGCACTGCGATTGGACGGTCTGTGCCGCTCTGCGATTGGACGGTCTGTGAAGCTCTGTGATTGGACGGTTTGTGCTGCTTTTGTGATTGGCTGGTCTGTGGTGCTCTGTGATTGGACGGTCTATGTGCCGCTCTGAGATTGGATTGGACGTCTCTGTGCCGCTCTGTGATTGGATGTGTCTTTACTACTCCTTGTGGTGATTGGACGGTCTCTGTGCCCGCTCTGTGATTGGACGGTGTCTGTGCCGCTCTGGATTGATGGGATGGTTTGTGCCGCTCTCTGATTGGATTGGACGTCTGTGCCGCTCTGAGATTGGACGGTCTGTGTGCCGCTCTGTGATTGGACGGTCTCTTTACTACTTTGTGATTGTGATGGTCGGTTGTGTCGCCGCCTGTGATTGGACGGTCTGTGCCGCTCTGTGATTGGATGGTCTGTGCCTGCTCTGCGATTGGACGGTCTGTGCCGCTCTGCGATTGATTGGACGGTCTGTTGTGCCGCTCTGTGATTGGACGGTCTGTGCCGCTCTGTGATTGGACGGGTCTGTGCCGCTCTGTGATTGGACGGTCTGTGCCCGCTCTGCGATTGGATTGGACGGTCTGTGCCGCTCTGTGATTGGACGGTCGTGCTGCCGCTCTGTGATTGGACGGTCTGTGCCGCTCTGTTGATTGGACGGTCTGTCTCTCTGTGATTGTCTGCTCTGTGATTGGACGGTCTGTGTGTCTCTCTGTGATTGGACGGTCTGTGCCGCTCTGTGATTGGAGGGTCTGTGCCGCTCTGTGATTGGACGGTCTGTGCCCTCTGCTCTGTGATTTGGACGGTCTGTGCCGCTCTGTGATTGGACGGTCTGTGCCGCTCTGTGATTGGACGGTCTGTGAAGCTCTGTGATTGGACGGTTTGTGCTGCTTGTGATTGGCTGGTCTGTGCTGCTCTGTGATTGGACGGTCTGTGCCGCTCTGTGATTGGACGGTCTATGTGCCGCTTTGTGATTGGATGGTCTGTGTCTCTCTCTGTGATTGGACGGTCTGTGCCGCTCTGTGATTGGACGTTCTGTGCCGCTCTGTGATTGGACGGCCTGTGCCGCTCTGTGATTGGACGGTTCTGTGCCGCTCTGTGATTGGACGGTCTCCGTCGCTCTGTGTGATTGGATGGTCTGTGTCCCGCTCTGTGATTGGACGGTCTGTGCTTCTCTGTGATTGGACGGTCTGTGCCACTGTTATTGATGGTCGGTGTGTCGCTCTGTGATTGGACGGTCTTGTGCCGACCTTGTGATTGGACGATCTGGTGCGCTCTGTGATTGGACGTCTCTGTGCCTCTCTGTGTGCCGGTCTGTGTCTCTCTGTGATGGACAATCTTGGCCGCTCTGTGATTGGACGGTCTGTGCCGCACTGTGATTGGACGGTCTGTGCCGCTCTGTGATTGGACGGTCTGTGCCGCTCTGTGATTGGACGGTCTGTGCGCTCTGCGATTGGACGGTTTGTGGCTGCTCTGTGATTGGACAGTCTATGCCATTCTGTGATTTGATGGTCTGTGTCTCTCTGTGATTGGACGGTCTGTGTCCGCTCTGTGATTGGACGGTCTGGGCCGCTCTGTGATTGGACGGTCTCTTTCTCTCTGTGATTGGACGGTCTGTCTGTGCCTCTCTGTAATTGGATGGTCTGTGCCGCTCTGTCCATGATCGGACGGTATGTTTCTATCTGTGATTGGACAGTATGGTCTGCTCTGTGATTGGCCGGTCTGTGCAGTTCTGTGATTGGACAGTCTGTGTCTTTTGTGATTGGAAGGTCTGGCCGCTCTGTGATTGGATGTTTTTTTGTCGCTCTGTGATTGGACGGTCTGTGCCGACCTGTGATTGGTCGGATCTGTGCCGCGCTCTGTGATCTGGTCTCTCTGTGATTGGACGGTCTGTGCGTCTCTGTGTGGATTGGTCTACGGTCTGTGCCGCTCTGTGATTGGACGGTCTGGGTCGCTCTGTGATTGACCGGTCTGTGCCAACCTTGCTGATTGGACGGTCTGCCATCTCTGTGATTGGACGGTCTGTGCCGCTCTGTGATTGACGGTCATGTGCCTGCTCTGTGATTGGACGGTCTGTGCCATCTGTGATTGGACGGTCTGTGCCGCTCTGTGATTGGACGGTCTGTGCCGCTCTGTGATTGGACGGTCTGGGTCCGCTCTGTGATTGGACAGTATGTGCCAGCTCTGTGATTGGACGGTCTGTGTCGCTCTTGTGATTGGACGGTCTAGATTGGTCTATGTGGACTCCGCTCTGTGATTGAGTCTGGTGGAGATAAGAGGTGAGGTGTCTGATTGGACGGTCTGTGCCGCTCTGTGATTGGACGGGTCTCTGTGGACCGTCTCTTTAACGAGATTGGACGGTCTGTGCCGCTCTGAGATTGGACGGTATGTGCCGCTCTGTGATTGGACGGTCTGTGCCGCTCTGTGATTGGACGGTCTGTGCCCTCTGTGATTGGAGGTCTGTGCCGATTGTGATTGGGGACGGTCTGGGCCGCTCTGTGATTGGACGGTCTGTGCCTCTCTGTGATTGGACGGTCTGTTTCTCTCAGTGATTGGACGGTCTGGGCCTCTCTGTGATTGGACGGTCTGTTTCTATCTGTGATTGGACGGTCTGTTTCTATCGGTATGGTCTGCTCTGTGTGATTGGACGGTCTGTGCAGCTCTTTGATTGGACGGTCTGTGCAGCTCTGTGATTGGACAGTCTGTGTGCCTTTTGTGATTGGACGGTCTGTGCCTCTGTCTGTGATTGAATGGTCTGTGTCTTTCTGTGATTGGACTGTCTGTGCGCTCTCTGAATTGGACGGTCTGTGCCGCTCTGTGATTGGAGGGTCTGTGCCACTCTGTGATTGGAGGGTCTGTGCCGCTCTGTGATTGGACGGTCTGTGCCGCTCTGTGATTGGACGGTCTGTGCCGCTCTGTGATTGGACGGTCTGTGCCGCTCTGTGATTGGACTGTCTGTGTCTCTCTGTGATTGGACGGTCTGTGCTGCTCTGTGATTGGACGGTCTGTGTTTATCTGTGATTGGACGGTATGGGCCTGCTCTCTCATTAGACGGTCTGTGTCTCTCTGTGATTGGACGGTTTGTGTCTCTCTGTGATTGGAGGGTCTTTTACCTTAATTATGCAATAAAGTTTTACTGAACCCCGGACCCTGCATTCACTATACCCCGCATCACTATATCTGGTCTCCCCGGACCCTGCATTCACTATATCTGGTCTCCCCGGACCTCATTCACTATATCTGGTCTCCCCGGACCCCGCATTCACTATATCTGGTCTCCCTGAGGGATTCACTATATGGACCCGGCATTCACTATATCTGGTCTCACTATATCTGGTCTCCCCCCTGTGATTGGACCGGGACCCTGTTCACTATATCTGGTCTGGACGGTCCTGTGGACCCTGCATTTGTATTCCCCGGACCCTGCATTCTATATCCGTTCTCCCATGGACCCTGCATTCTGTGATCTCCCCGGACCCTGCATTCACTATATCTCTATATGTCTCCCCGGACCCTGCATTCACTATATCTGGTCTCCCAGGACCCTGCATTCACTATATCCGGTCTCCCAGACCCTGCATTCACTATATCTGGTCTCCCGGGACCCTGCATTCACTATATCTGGTCTCCCCGGACCTGCATTCACTATATTCCCCGGACCCGGCATTCACTATATCTGGTCTCCCCGGACCCGGCATTCACTATATCTGGTCTCCCGGACCCTGCATTCACTATATCTGGTCTCCCACAGTACACAGAACATGGAAATGACATTATGTTAGTACATATAAACTGCTAAATACCGAGAAGTGGAGTGGAGATGAGGTGGAAAAGATGTGAAATGGAGTGGAGGAAAGGTGGAGGAGAGGTGATTGGACGGTCTGTGCCGCTCTCTGATTGGACAGTCTGTGCCGCTTTGTGATTGGACGGTCTGTGCCGACCTGTGATTGGACGGTGTCTGCCGCTCTGTGATTGGACTGTCTGTGTCTCTTTGTAGTAGGACGGTCTGTGTCTCTCTGTGATTGGACGGTCTGTGTCTCTCTGTAATTGGACAGTCTGTGTCGCTTTGTGATTGGACGGTCTGGGCCACTGTCTAATTGAATGCTCTGTGCCGCTTTGTGATTGGATGGTCTTTGTCGCTTTGTGATTGGACCAGGGGCGGACTGACCATTTAGAAACTCAGGCACTGCCCGAGGTCAGTAGGGCCCCATGAGATGCCCCTGGTACCTTTTTCATAGGCTTTTTTAA